CCCCCCCTCCTCTCCCTAGTGTGAAGTGGTGCAGACGCACGCTCCAACCACAGACCAGACTGAACGAGGAGGATCCTGAGGCGTGTGGGAAAGTCCCAGGCACCACTTCAGTCGACCAAGAGCCAACTGTTTCCTGTCCCTCTCCTCGGGGCCTCGGGGTTAGGAGTGTGCTCGTCAAGGCCATATACATAACATCCTCCGTGCTGCAGCATGAATGGAGCCTTGCCTTGGGTGGGATCTCCACAGCGGCCCAAGGCACGGAGCAGATATCTGCATGCACTCCTCACTGTCAGGGCCCTGTAGACACGTTTCTCCGCTGGAGCAGTGAATATCTTATGAGCATCGCGGAGATGGATCAAAACCATTTGAGCTCGCCGACACTGCACCGCACTTCCAACAGCTCTGTTGTTGTGTTCCAACACAACGGTATCAGGTGATTAAACATCCGATGGGAGTCGTATTGATATTCAGAGCGCCACCTCCAACAGATGGCATATTAATCATTAATTGATTCTCTGCCATTTCTGTTTGATCTACGGTACAAAATTCTGGGCTAATTTAGCTCCACTATGAGCTGCTCGCTGATCACAGCAAGACTATTCATGAGTGCAGAGGGAACCTATCATTTTCCTCTAAAATTATAATAATACACTGCTCTCTGTTCCTGCAGTCAACAATCCACGTTGGCTACTGAGCCGGTCCACACACCATTAGATCAGCTTGAAAGTTAAATGACAACCATCAAAATATTTGTGTCATTATTCCCCTGACAACTGATTATAATGTATAACAAAGGGCCTGTAAATAAAAAGAAAGTAGTGATTAAATAAATAAATACTTTGCCCTTTGAATCACTTGTGGGAGTGTGGGAGAAAAACCTCAGATTAACTCTGCCGGGCGTGTGTGTGCATGTGTGCGTGCGTGCATCGCACAAGGCAAAAAGCTGTCAAGAATCTGTCCTCTCCTCCTCATTACTACTCTGGGCTTCACTCTCCCCTTGCGGTCCACGCCGCTCTCCTCCTCTCCTCCAGCAGACTGGCAGGAGGTCAGCATCGGGCCAATCCCCGGCAGCCCCAGAAGGGAGCTGCTGTCAACAAGCAACATGGATAAGTTTGAACACCGAGGGCAGCGCTGTGGCACGTCGAGGTCAGTAGGAATCACTCAACCCAGAACTGACCAACAGCAAAGTCGGAGGAGATGTAACTGTCACGGCCCAGGACTCCTTGTGAGATACCACCCCCACCACATTCCTACACAGCTAAAGGAAGCTGCTGCCTGTCAGACGCAGTTTAGAGAAGACAGGTTGTATTTTGTTACTTTGCAACTAATTACATCACAGTGGAAAGTTTATTACTTACTGAAAGCTAAAGCAGACTAACACAACAGCCCTGCAGTTAATCCTACCTTCATGAACGTTGTTATTATTATTATTATAATTAGAATAGTGAGCACTGTATTACAGTGGTGTTGATTCTGCTTTACGGATACATATTTTTGTATTATGCTGTATTGAGAGGTGTTTCTAATATTAACTCTACTCTGGGATCTAAATCAGGTGGGAATGAACACTATCACCTTCGTAAGGTATTATTCACAGTAAGGTAGTGGTATTAGATTGTGTTAGTTTAAGTTAGGTGTTCCTAATAAATTGGCAGCTGGAGTGTAGCTTCTCCTACTGCTCCCATTGCAACAAATTATTTCTCAGCAAAGTCTGCCCTCTGCAGTTAAATCATGGAAATTGCGTGTTGAGGTCTATTATGGAAACAGATTTCTTTGTAATATAGTTTATTTTTCTTTTTTGGCAATATTTTTTTTTCCAGAAGACTGCTTAAAATCGACAAAATTAGAACTGGAGTGAGTACAACAACAACAACCAGCAGTACTGTGCTGAAAAGACAAAAAAGTGTATTAATGTGTTGCCAACAGCTACAACTCCTCTTGTGTAAATCCATAAGTGCAGGCTGCTGTACAAACAGATAATAAACTGTGACACTCAGCGGAGTCTATACCTCCACGAAGGCCCAATAGTCTCCTGGTGAAACCACATTTAAATTCACACAAGTCCAGTTTTTAATTTGCAGCAAATTTCACACACTCGTAAATATCAGTCCTCTAAACTTGCCTGATTTTTCTTCAAGATCCATAAATTATTCACTGAGAAATCAATAAAAATGTTGAAAAAACCCCACAACATCCTTCCACCAGCGTCTGCATAGTCCTGCTAAATAACCAAACATGGGGGGGTGAAACTTAACACAATAATACAACTGTTGTAATAGTATGAAATACAACTTCAGAGAAGAATTCATAACTGATACAGGTTGCATTTATAAATATTTTTTAAATGCCTCATATGTGCTTACAGCTACAATAAATGCATTTAAATAAATGTTTATAATGTTCTTAGAACTTCTAAATAAGTAGAATTTTTTGTGGTACTGAGTTATATATATATTTTTCCTTTGGAATTATGAATAAAAAGTGAAATAATATGAAGAGCATCCAGATAGATTTGAAAATGCCGAGAGGAGTCAAAGGTTAAATGACACCTCTGCCCTGCTTTGGTTTTGTGAAGGAGGGGGTGTTGGAACTGGCTTATCAGTGAATCTAAATTAACACAGGGACAAATCTAAAGCACTGAGATGATCATAGCCAGACACTGAGCCGTGGATCAAAGCTGAGGGAGACACTGGGGAGCAGCAGATGAAAGAGGAAAACATTAAGCTGTTTACCGAGGTGACATGAAAAAGGTGTTTTAGCTCAGTATTGGGCCTAATGAGGGAGACGCAGGCTTCTCTTATTAGATATTCAGAGCTGTCGGTTCACAGCCTCTCACATCCACATCAAAAGAAGACTCCTGTTTCTGCCGAGGTGATGTCTAATAATAGTCCTGTGGATTAAATTAACGATTAACCATTTCACAAACAGGCTCACGAGCACACTGGTGCTGTAGGTAGCTGAGGTGTCAACACTGTCACGCTGCAGTGGTGAATATTTAACCTGTGGTGCGAGTTGATCTCAGGTTGTGTCGGTCTGGACCAACTCTCTATTTTTTGCAATTTTTCTCAAGTATAAACTTCTGGTTCATTCTACTTATTAAGGATTAATAATTTGAATAAAATAAGGAAAATATAGTCTGGTTAAGGTAGATGGTTTTCGACATGGTCTTTGTGCAGAAAAAACAGTGGGGACAGTTTCTATAGTTTACCTTTCACATATGAAGATGCGTTCACAGCAACAGGGAATTGTCCAGGACATTCAGGCGAGGGGAGAAACCTGGTTAAAGCATGCAGGACAAAGGACACGATGTATGAATATGTTTTCGTTTACAGCAGATCGACACCAGCGTCTGCCCATATCGTCAAAAGTTCTCGAACCTGTCCTCTAAAGCATCTTCTACGTGTATGAAAACTCTTTTTGATCCTGACATGAGTTTTACTTTTTAATTTTCTCCACCATGTTAGAAAGGTCAACAACACGTCCACTCGTTTGCTTTTCCTTGCTGTATTCTCACAGGGGCTCACTTAGACATTTTCTGGGCATTTTCCAAATGGACTGGCAGGAAAAGTTCTTATTATTGAGATATTGTTATCTCCAACAACACCTCCGGAAAATTTCAGCAAAATGTCAGCAGTTAAGTGCACGTCTGAAAGCATCTTTATAGAACCTGGAGGAGTGAAGAGAGGCTGCAAGCTGCTTTGTTTTAAAGGGTCACAAGCTAAAACTGTTGCAAACATAAAAGCATGCATGAAAAATCTTAACCTTCAAAGTGAGTAATAAGTGCAGCTGTCAGATTCACTCGCTCCTCCAATGTGGTGGGAAAGAAATATAAAGGAGCATTAAAAGTCTGGTACTTGAGTGAATTCACTTTTGCAGTGAGGTGGGTGGTGTCTCTGTGAGGAAAGCTCATCACACACATGACAAAAACCCAGAGTATAAACTGAGTAAAGGCCCCGACACGCTCTGAAGTCTCCCACTGTGTTGGGATCCTGCGCTGCACAAAACCACTACTATGCCGCATTGAAAACGGGCCTCAGCCTTTACTTGGACTGTGTTGTTGGAAAAAATCTCGGTAAGAATTACAGAATCTGGCCACTTTTCAGGAAAACAAATGGACACAGATGTAGTTTTCCATTTTACAGGCTGTTTATGTCTTGCAAATTCCTTCTCCAGAAGAGTGGAGTATGTTCTTTCATGTTTTAATGGCGCCGAGTGACCGCAGCCCTTTGTGGCAAATGCACTTTTCCAATACTAATGACACACAGTCACATGAGGCTCTTGGCAGCAGCGTGCTACTGAGGCTGCGTGCCCAATGTGTAATTAGTCTACCACTAACTCCTAGTCTGGGGAAACATTCACAACCAGATTAAACACTGAGGGTTTTTCACCTCAGAGAGTCTGAAGCAGATGGATTCACTCCGGAGGAGTCGTGGAGAAGCACAAATGGCTTTCATCAGTCACTTAAACTGATAACATTTGTTGTCTAATGGAGGGGGGGGGGCTCTCAGCGGTGCCTGCAGGAGTTTGTCTTGAGTTTACGGTCTGAGAGAAGGATCGTATGACTATCTTTTTATTGGCATTACATCTCCGCAGTAACCTAATCCGTCCCCTGGGGTGGGCGTCTCTCATAAGCTTCTGTAAGAAGGAGAAATCGAAAGCAGCCAGCAGGGTCAGCTTCCCAGCACCTCACAGAAACAGCAGAATACTCTGAGAACCACAGAGCTTCAGTGTCAAACTGCTGCCACTGTTGATCTGTGCAATCCTGCCACCTGCTGGCTCTCACTCAACAATACACCTAATTAAACTTGTCAGAGGTGGAGGAGTTAATGGGATCTTTTACTTATAAGTTTGTATAAGTGATATTTTTAGAATCTTAATAGAAAAACAAATCACAGTGTGACAAAATGAAAGGTTTCAATCGTAGTGATGAACCTAAGAAGAGGACCTGGGTTTTCTTCTGGGAATATTTAGGGGATTGAATTCTACATGTGTGGAATTTGGTGCCGCTTGATTGAATATAAGGGGACTGTTGGGCCCTCTGGGAGGTATGAGCTCTACAGAGTGCCCTTCTACTGCTGTCAATGCTGTTTGTACCAATTTTCTTAAAACTTGGTGGAGGGTGGGTCATGGGCCAAGAACTTTTGGAGTGGTATCCAGGATTTAAGTTCTCAGCAAATAATGCAGAGGTCTTGATGAAAAATCAGGCATGGGTAGTGAGCTAATATCTATGATCAGATGACATTTGACATGGATCCAGATAAGGATCAGAATTTTGTGAATTAAAATAAATAGTTTTAGGGGGTGATCTTAATTCAGTATGGTAACAAATTGAAACCCTTTGACATATTTACTCAATGTGTCTCTGCTAATTTCAGTTTTCTAGTGTTTCATATCTATATCCACAATTTTGATATAAACTACCAGAATGTTCTATTAATTAGTTTGTCCCTTTGGCTATATCAGAGAATGGATATTTTGCCTGTGTTTGATATGAGCAGTCTGCAGAACATTTCTGTATTTGTGTTTTAGGTTTCTGATCACAGGAATACAGGCAAATGTAATATAGTGATAATGTGACCAATCAGCTACATAACAACTGTAGGGAATCTGATTCTATTAACTGATCATAACTTTTGTTTCTCAACAAGCCATGTAGCCACTGAAATGTAAAGTGAACTCGAAAGGAGTGAAAAATGGAAAAACCCAGTTAAACAATCTCAAACTTGTGCTAGATTGAATTAAATGTATTATCCAAATGTTATAGTTTATACATATAAAAGGTCAACTTTAATTTGCTTTGATATATAAAGCAGAACCACATATACATGTTACAATACTCATAGTAAATCCGGTTCGTCCCCACAGGGCTGTGAACTCAGGTCGTTTCTCATGCCTGAACCGAGCAGTTCCAGCAGACCTGTCTGGAGTGAGTCTTTTAGATGAGAGCAGACACATGAGGAGGAAAACCTGCTGAAACCATTACTCACACTTTGTTTCAATAGCTGGGGCTGTATCATGCATATGTCTGTCTCTCTCATCTGTGGAGGTTATGGCAGCGGTACGGCTGTGAGTCACTAGGGTCACATAAAAAGCAATCGCACAAGAGGGAGGCCTCTGGGTGACCCGGCCTCAAACGCACAGTGTAAAGTGTTAATCGTGGTGGTAAACTGAGCCAAAACAGGCACTGAGGTGTCTCCCTGAACAAATCTGCAGAGGAGTCCCGTGTGTGTGTGTCAGTCTTTTTGATGGGCTGTTAAAAGCTATCAGGGCGCTGTGATCTGAGAGCTCACTCCGCTGAAAACGCATCTGGTCCCGGTTAAGGCCGAGGGACATTGGATTAAAGAAATTCCTCTTGAAACTGTTCTGAGCGGCTCTTGCCAAAACAACTGTGAGCGGCTGACACAGACGAAACCACAAATCACCCTGAAACTAATATTTAGCTTCTCTTTTTCATGTCGAGTAACAACAGCGGAAAAGACGCCAGCTGGAGGGGATTCTGCTGAACACATTTCACAGCAGAGAGGTGAGAGGAGGAAGGTGCTCTGGATGGGTTTCAATAGCCTATTACATTTCTTTCCTCAGTACCGGGCCACATGCTTTCCATCACCCAGATGTTATTCCACCACTGGCACCTCACTCAAACCATCAGAGCAGGAAAATCATTTCAGCCGATATGAGAAGAAAACGCTCATAAGTGTCTGCGGAATCCCCAGAGACTGATCACATTCACCAATTTGCTTGAAATTATTTTTAAGTGGAGTAATAAAAGCTTGGAGGTAGAACTACAGCACACAGGCATCAGACTGTGTCTTGTAAATGTTTAAATTAAAACCAAATGTCCAGTTCATACCAAGTGAACCATAAATTACAGTAAATATTTTTTTTAAAGGATGGAATCTTGGCTCCAGTCACTGAGCCACAATTAGCTGAAATAAAGCAGGACACCATCAGCGTTATGATCCCATTCAAACACTTCAGGTTCCTGAAAGCAACCAGACAGAACATGAGCAGATGATTAGGATTAAAAAACCAGCAGAGCCATAAAGTGGAACAAGCCGAGGACGGGATCGTCGGAGGCAAAACAGTGGATGCACCTGGAACTAACTCCACTAATGTCAGAGGACATTTATAATTGAATGTAATATTCGGTTTATTAGATATCTGAGGCAACAAGCAGCGACATTATAAGACAAGCCACAGGTCGCTGTTTAAACTGTGATCCAGTGACAACATTGTTTTCATCAGTGTTTTTCTTAAGCAGCATTACACAACAACTAGTGAAACCTGGTAGAAGGATGTGGTGTAAGTCAGGAAGGAACCCATAATCTCTCTGTGCAAATCTGTGGCAGGAGGGGCGGCTCCAGGGTTGTTGTTTTTTTCACTATAATAACTGATCTTTATGAAACAAAATCAGACACGTTTAGGCAGCTAGACTGAATTTAAATTGGCAAAGGACAAAAAAAAGCTGCAAAATGTACATAAATTCAGCTCAGGAGAACAAAGTGCACTGCACAAAATGAAAGAGTAGATCGAGCCCATGGGTGTTTGATCGATCACAACAAGCAGAGCTGCAGAACAACAGGAACAAGTGACAGCAAGTGAGAATACAGCAACTAGTCTTGGGTCTCAGAGAGTTCAAGCATTGAATTAATGACGAAGAGCCTAAACTGTACGCACAAGGTGCTGCTAGTTCACAGCTATTCTGCTAACGTCCAACAGAGCCTGACCCATGTGAATGTTCTGGGGCCAATACTGATATTAGGGAATATAAATGTCTAATACTGTCACATCATTTATTTAACAAAAATAGATTTAGCAGTGATTCCTAAGATGTTAAGACAAAGAAATGTAATTGATGCTTGATACTTTCACTTTAACCACACAAGTTAAATACAAAAGAAAACACAAAGAAAACCAAATATATGGAGCATGAATTAAGAAAATAAACACTTTGCACATCTTTCTACATTGTTTAATTTGTAAAATAAAAGTTTTCATATCACTAAACATAAACACTGATAGGACACGTCTGTGAAAGGCTCATATTGGACAATTTTGATGGTCATTATATTCAAATGTGAGTCTCAATCCATCAGTGTGTAATGAGACTGGTGAATGTGTACATGGATCTGCAAATCTGTATTTAGAATGTTTGTGTTTAACCGGATTTGAAAATGTGCAAAGAAAAATCTCTTCAAATATGTATTGAGATTTAAAAGTGTATTTATATCTGTTAATAAGTAGACACATTTGTAAACACACACATGGAGATGAATGGCTAGCATAGTACAATAATGTGACACACATGCTGTCCCATTCCTGTTTATATTATTCCCAGCTTCCCCTCACACTCATTCACTAACCAGCTCGTGTCACATCAGTGTGTGAGGGTTCAGGGTTTGAATCCCTGGCGGGAGACTCACTTACTCACTTTGCACTTTGACGTGTGCTGACCACAAACCACTCCAACTTATATGTCTTGCTCAGAGGTGTCATACCTGCTACTGTTACCTGATTAAAACATCAAGTCAAATTATGGTCGTTAATGAATTAAGCTTGAGGAATATTTCAGTCTGCAGATGTTTAAACACATTTTCTGAAAAATAAGTTAAATGTGACCTGTACCACGTGACCTTCTCAGTAGGAGCAGGGTTGTGAAGCAGCAGAAGTTTGGGACAGAACTTGATGAACATTCATAATATTGAAGTAAATGACCTCTGCTGCAGAACTCAACATGGGATCATTGATTCATTTAGCTTTAGCCTGGATGACGTTTGCTGTGAACTCACCTGCAGCAGCTGCAACAACAACCGGAACAGAAGCAATGAAGCTGCGGGGCTCCGCCCCCGGTGCTCCCGGTCCAGACAGAGGCAGGGTGGAGGTGGGTCTTTGGACAGTTTGACTCCGTCTAATTGGATGGTCAGTGAGCAGGGCACTGATTGGCTCGTCAGGTGTAAATTGAGACCGACAGCATGGTTGAGGAACGGAAGTTAAATTACCCATTCATTTCTGAACAGGTTGTGATTATCAGCCTTAATATTGTAACAACCTGAGGTAAACTCACCACAACCTACGAGACGGTGAAAGTCCTCTAAGACTCTTGTGTACAGATATTTGTTACAAGTAAGGGAGTAAAGTCATTACTCAGGTAAAACACAGACACCTAGAAAATCCACTTAAGTACAGTGACAACGTATTTGTATTTTATTACTCCCCA